TTTTTTAGTACCCAGAATTGCTAGTAGCTTCATATAACAACAATGAAGATGCCCCCCATGAACCAGATGGTGTAGCACTGATATGGAACATGAAATATCAGAAAGAGTCCCCTGAGTACATTTTTCACTGTCAGGTAAGCAGAATCACTTCTTCTGATCCACTGCCTTTCTTGTCCACAGGACTAGGGCTATGGTTGAATCCCTGTGAAACTAACTTTCCTGGGAAATCGTAAAAGGGTCACGTTTTGGTGGGGATACTAACAAACGAAAGTAAACTGAAGAGAAGTTAAGAAAAGTTTAACCTGGGAAAAAACGCGACATTTCGTGAGGCAACCAATGGTTTCCCCACAAAGTGATGTCTGAGAAATTCACACGTAGAAATTCCATAACTAATGACATCACTACCCAGATCTGGGTAGTGCTTCTGATTGGTCGTGTCACATGGTAAATTTGCTTCAAACAATCAACAACACTACTGAGATCTGGGTAGTGATGCATCATCAGTAAGGAATTTCTGTGCTTGTTTATCACCACCGTCATGGTGCTCTTTAGTTTACATGTATGATTGCATGTAATATGTCCTTTTAATGTATTTTCTTTTTGCCGTGTTGTTAATCGGCTGTCAGCAGAGATTTCATAATCGATCATAATTGGAAAAACTTGTAATCAGATTGACCCACCTAATCAATCAATCTGCATTGTATCTTTATACGAATTCCACTTAGGACAGCTGCTGTACCATGTCTTAAAGCTGATTTAGATGGCATGAGTTTTGCTTACGACCATTGTACGTGATTAGCATACGTCATGACTTCATGATAGATCATGTCATGTAAATTAGACACACAACATTTGTTTGACACACGTGGTTGTTGTCGGTGAAAATTGTGCGCATGTGGATTTTTGAAAGTCGATGATTGGCGCACCACTGACTCTTTTTACAATAATATTAATACTTGTCACAACTCACTGAATCGAATGTCTTTTTTTTATTTTAGTCAGGTGTGATGTCAGTAACATTTGCCAAGTTTCATCCCAATCTGATCGTTGGTGGAACATACTCTGGTCAGATAGTGTTATGGGACAATCGAAGCAGTAAAAAGACCCCTGTTCAGAGAACTCCTCTGTCTGCAACTGCGCACACAGTAAGTTAATACTCTGGGCCGGGTTGTTCAAAGCTGGGTTAAAGTAACCCAGGGTTAGTGCGAAATTTGAATTCAGCTATGATGAAAGCTTAAAAAGTAATTCAGCTTAATTCTTTTTGTCTCCAATTTGATGATTGGATGCTCCAAAGAAAAAGGGGAAAATTATCAGAGAAAATGCATTTGAGCAAAAAAAAAAAAAGAAACTTGGTTTTTAATTTTAATTTTAAAAAATTTCGAGTAATCACTATTCTGCCTTCAAACAACTGGGCCCTTGTGTTAATGGTATCTGTAGGCCCTTTGCTACTTGGGTTTACGTGACCTATCTGATACCAATATTCTGGAATACAACCCTAAAATTACCAGAGATTGAAAGAGCATAAAATAATTATAGGAAATTACCAGGCCAACTTGGTCAAGGCAAGTCAATCAGGGCATGCATGAGCACTGTCAGCTCGGGCAAAGGGGTAAACTGTTTTCTCACAGAAACGCTTGCTAAAGTTAACTTGGCTAGACGTAACCCGTGTGGTAACTGGTCAGGTCGTCCGAAAGTCATCTTGCCCGTAAACCGTAAACCATGATTACAGGGTTTGCACAGTCTTAAAAAGTCCTTGGATTTTAGGGGAAGTCCTTGAAAAATCCTTGAATTCCATTTTTTTCCTTGAAGAGTCCTTAAATTACTGTGCAAGTCCTTGAAAAGTCATTGAATTTTCTTCAACTTTGAATGTAGTGGCCTGGAAAGAATTTTTTTGATGCTTTTTGGTTGTCCAAGCAGAATGAAAAATGTAGAGAAGTTGGTGAAACAAACAGTTCAAGCCTTAAAGTCTTATTAAAATAAACTGGGAATGTGCATTTCTGTACAATCTGTGAAATTATATTCCTAGTAGGTGGTCCTTGAAAATCTAATGTGGTCCTTGAAAAGTCCTTGAAAAATGGTTGCAATGTTTTGTATGAACCCTGTGATTATTCCTTAGCATTATAAGGAGTAGGTTGAATCTGATCACCATGCACATGCCCATGTTATTTTCACAGCATCCAGTGTATTGTGTGAACGTTGTTGGAACACAGAATGCTCACAATCTGATCAGTGTTTCTACTGATGGCAAGATGTGCTCTTGGAGTCTTGACATGCTCTCTCAGCCCCAGGTAAAAAGCTGATGATCTCTCACTTCCTTTCAATTAGTTAGAAGTGTAATATTTTCCCAGGGAGGGGGGGGGGGGGTACTCCGGATTCCAAGTGACGGGGATGGTCGAATGGGGACAAAAATTAAAACCCAAAAAAATCCCTGGACCAAAAATTAACCCCCAAAAAATCCCATGCCGAATTTTCGAGCCTTAAAAATTTACAGAAAGCATTGAATTATATAAGACGTTGTTCCTTATTTGGTTATACTTTATTCGCAGAACTACGCGGCCGGGATACTCAGGCACTACCAGGAATCTTCACATTGTTTTAAATACCCAAAAAATTCCGGAATCGAAAATTTCAAACCAATAAAGATTTTTTTATCATCCCCGTTACTTACAATAAAGTAACACAACAATTAATGCCTAATGGCGATGATCTTTGGAAGCTCTAGTAAAGACCAGTAACTTCAAAACGTATTTTGATCAGCACTGCTGTAGTTTCTATTCCCGTTTTAAGCCTCCTCGGATAAAATTCCCTCCGTTTATAAGCTCTCCTAAAACGTCTTACGAAGAAGTATAAACTAGGGCTTTTAAAGGGGATTTTACGTTATTAACGTAGAGGTATAATGGGTATTGTTCTTGGCCGCCAACTGATGGTTTGCTTTTCAATGATATCAGGACAGCATGGAGCTTCAGTACAAGCAATCCAAGGCAGTAGCTGTGACAAGCTTGTCCTTCTTAGCCGGCGATGTGAATAACTTTGTAGTCGGTAGTGAAGAGGGCTCTGTCTACACAGCCTGTCGGCACGGAAGGTAGGTAACGCAGTGGCTTGATTTGTAACCTGCAGAAGCGGCGCTGTTTTTTTGGCGTTTTTCGGGCGAGCGAAGAACGAAGCGGGCGTGGAGCGCGCGACACACGCGACACACGCAACAAGGAAAGGCGAGGAAAAATAACTTTTAATAATTTTTTCTGTGCTTCCCTGTTGCGCGCGTCTCGCGCCTTTTTTTCTTTTCGCGCTTACCTTCGCAAGCCTACAAAACGCGAAAAAATAACGTCCGCGGGCTTTATCTTCTGCTTCTACAGTGGAACCCCGTTCATGCGGTCACCAATAGGCCAAAAAAATTGACCGTATTAACGGGTGACCATATTAACGAGGGGTTTTTTTACAAGAAAATGTATGGCCGTTTTGCCAGGCGGCCAAAAAAAGTGGCCGTAATAACGAGGTGGCCTTAAGGCGGGGTTTCACTGTACTTGCTTCCGTACGCGTTTAAGGACGCGTTTATTTCAGAAAATCTCAATTGAGATTCCAAAATCCAAACCTGGGTTTTGAGTTCCTTCACTGATCCAAAAGTAGATTTTGCGTTTCTGTACTAAAATCCAAGAAAGGATTTTGCGCTTTCCGAAATGTTTGATGTCCTTTGATATGCGCATGTTTTACGCTCTGGTTAGCGGTACCTATAAACGTTAACAGGAATCGAATCAAAGTTATTTCCCCCTACATCGCTAAAATTTGACAACTTGAGCTATTTTCCTGGTTAAAAAGGCCAAACGATTTGTATCATTGTAGTTTTAGTGTTATAGAATGTTGCTTGGCTTCTCAACGCAGCAAGCTTATACTTTAAAAGGTTAGGATATCATGCAGTATGATTTGAGGCCGTGGTTTAATTGAACAATATAAAAATTATTTCTCCACTTTTCTCATTTTATAGTAAAGCTGGCATCAGCGATATATTTGAAGGTCATTATGGTCCAGCGACAGGTATTGATACGCACTCCGCGGCTGGACCTATCGACTTCTCCTATCTCTTCTTAACATCCTCATTTGATTGGACCATCAAACTCTGGAGTCACAAGGTAATCAGCGAGTGTTGCTACAAAAGCATGCGCACTGCGCCGATTTGCGCGTCAGAGTGGGTCGCTGTGGTGACGAATTGCAGTGTGGGGCTGTGTTGGGGACGCTATCGCTTCTTCTATTAGAGAGCTTTAGTTTCTAAGACGAGGGCGACTGCGAGATCGAGATATTCTCAATACTAAGGGTGCGTTCGACTGGGAAATCTGGATGTAGATTCTAAAATCCGGATTTCGGATTTGCAATCGACCGCGAAATCCGATGCTGAGATATCTGTGTTTGGATTTCCTTTTTGCCGTTCGATTGGAAAAGGATTTGAAAAACTGTCCTTAAGAACAGCGGTCTTGCACGCGCCCGCATAATTAGCAAAAAGAAGACTGCTGTTTACGAGAATAGTTTTGCAAATCCTTTTTCGGATTTCCCAATCGAACGGTAAAAAAGAAATCCATGAAATCCGGATTTGGATTTCTTAATTGAAATCCACCCCCAGGACAGATTTCTCGGAGGTAAAATCTGTTTTTGGATTTCGCGTTCGATTGCAAATCCGAAATCTGGGTTTCAAATCTAAATCCGGATTTCCCATTCGATCGCAACCTAAGTAGCGCACGCGTGAACCAGCGTCATTTTGGCGGGAAAACGTGATTGCCGTCGTCATTCTACTTTTGGTATTAGCTAAAATGTCGTAGCGATGGAAACAAGTTATGAAGTGTTAAAAGTTTCATCATTTTGCGATTGGAAGAGGGCCAACCTCCTTCATTAGAAAATTCTGTTCTTGGGTATTTTACGACGTTAAATCTGCGACGTTTCTTGAATCTATGCTTGCGTTATTCAGAACCCTCGGCCACTGTATTCGTTTGAAGACAATGGCGATTACGTGTATGATGTACAGTGGTCACCAATCCACCCTGCCTTATTCGCGGCTGTGGACGGCACTGGAAGACTGGACCTGTGGAACCTTAACAACGATACTGAGGTACAAATTTGAACTATATTTCGTTTGAATGCACGTGAAACACGTGTATTACTCCCACCCAATCTCCATCACTTTGCTCCCTTGCAGGTACCAACAGCAAGTACACATTCCGAATCAATGACGTCACTGAACCGTTTGCGGTGGACGCATTCAGGGCACCAGATTGCCGTGGGTGACGATGATGGTCACGTGTTCATTTATGACGTTGGGGAGGTGAGAGAACTCACGAAAAATGTTAAGTTATCGAGAGTCGAATATAAGAAAGTTCCCGCTCATTCAGTATTTATTGCCAGGGGGAACTGTCTCGAAATTTGTCTGGGAAACTGCCCACCTACCCCTTCCCTAAGCCAACATCAACACTTACTTCTAACTTAGGGTAAAATGTTGGCTTAGGGGAGGAGTAGGTGGGCAGTTTCCCAGAAACTTATAATGATCCCAGACAGTGGGAACTGCCACCAAACTAAGTGAACATAAAAATAACTACTCAGAACATGAAAAGAAGGTATAAATAATGCAGCAAATACAAAAGGAGAAGGAAGAAGAAGATTGAAACGGATTGGAATGGTGGCTTTTGCGCGGAAAACGTGGTAGCCTAACAGATGTTAAAAGTTCATTTTTGTTTGCTGTAACAGTTGGTAATTATAATACTTGGGAGTACATTATTATTTGTTTGACACGAAGCTGTGGTTACGATCCGACGACGCGATGGCAACGAAACGTCAAGAGAACCGAATAGTTTTGGATTAGAAGGCAAAACAACAACTTTGCAGATGCATCACACTTTTTTGTACATTTCTTAAGCGTTTTTGCACCACCACGAAGTGCATTTGCCTAATTTCGTGTTTTATTGAGACCGTAAACAAGCAATGACGAAATTTTATTTCGCTTTCTGAACTTGAATATGGTCCCTTGGAATTCAAGTTCAGGAGGGTTCGCGTACATTTGACAAAGTACGTAAGAAGAAATAATCGCCGTAAAGACTAAAAGAACGCAAATTCACTTTCTAAGCGACGTTCTCGTTGCCGTCGCGTCGTTGGATCTTAAAGTCCATTGTAGCGAATATGGACGCGTATTTGGTAATAGATCGTTTTTACTGTCACGCAACAAAAAAATAAATTGAAAACCGCCCAGTGAAAGAAGCCAAGAAAATGATATGTTATAAAAGACTAATTTTTAAACAATTTGTCCAAGTCTCAGGTCTTTTTGGCCCACAGTTTCTGAGTTATTTGCCAAGACGTTTCACGCATCTTTGAGGAGCTTTGTATGGAGACGCCATATTGGTGCACAGTGTTGGTGCACCAATATGGCCGCCGAAAATCAACAAAAACATCTGCAGTTCACTTGTTCTATAAAAGCTCCTTCTTTTCACTCGAGAACTAGCCTACGTACCCATAAACATATCTTCTAATACTTGAAATGGTTATACTGCTGAAAATCAAGAGGAGAGACTTTTTTCCAACGAGACAGCATTCCTATTTTGGTGTCACGCACTCTGAAAACTCGAAGTTCAAATCGCTGTATTTTCGAAATGAAACATGCTATGGGACTGAAAACTTGTACAAAGATTAACGTTTTGTTTATCTTCAACCTAGTGTAAATAAGCATTCGTAAAACCTCGCTATTTTGACTTTACAATTTGATGACGTCACTGTGAAAACCATCTATATTCACAAAATGAACTAGACCACCGTGATACTGCAGCCCTTGTATCTCCTCTACTGTCCATGTTTTACTCGTGTTGGCGAAATAATGATCTCTTGCTTTTTGTTTTCCTTTCAGCAACTTGCGGTGCCGAGACCTGATGAGTGGTCCAGATTTCAAAACACTGTTCACGAAATTCAGGCTAATGCCTCGTCTAACATCGGTGAATTCGGTTCACCAAAGATGTCTCCCTCTAAGATACCATTCAGTTAACCTTGTACTCTTCGGAACCGTATTCAGTTTTGTCGAATGAGGATGCAAGAACTATCCCCAACACTGGTTTTCCTGAAACTGATTCAAAATCCGAATTTTAATTCAAATAGTTGCCAAACCTTACTCTAAACAATCAAACTAAACAACAAGTTTCGTAGCCAATCAGGAACCTCATCCAGCGGATGCTATCTTTCCCGCCTTTCGTGGAATCATTGTTTTCCCGCAGCGCTTTGCAGTCTTTGTTAGTTTGCCTTCTCCGTTTCTGATTGGTCCAATGCAGACCTTGTTTATCTCATTAGTTTAGATGTAGCACTGCAAAAAACCGCTCTAAGGCTATGAACTAATGTATTATACCCAGTCTGTCGTTTAATTTTGAACGGGGGAGTGGGGTGGGCAGATGGGAGATGTATACGGTGATTTGACATTTTGGACATTTTCACTGTGCTTTCAACCAACCTCGTTCCCAGGGCTCTCTCGTACCCGTCCCTACGGAGCGCCCTGGGAATGAGGTTGGCTTTCAAGATGACAGAAAGTAGCCGAGATTCACCTGTGTAATAGCCCGTCCAAATGCCTGCCCCAAATGACAGCCTCAGTAGTAGACAAATATACCAATACCAGTATTATATTTGCACTCGACGTGGAAAGAGAAAAAATGTAGAACTGTTTTAACCATGGGCTATGGGAATGTTGGGTTAGCTTTGGATAGTAAAATGGTTACAACGACTGGACTCACGCTAACTGACGAACACTGTCTTAAGTAAACAACTGAGCTTTCTAACCCCTTAGGGTTCAGAATTTCCAAACGAAACCAATTTAGCATTCAAAAATGAATTCTATTTTTCCGTTAGATGAACTGAGTAGTTTGCCGACAAAACCGTCTTTTGCAGTACTGTAATACCAAGCACTTACTTAGTAAAAGAAGTTGTAGAAATTAGCCAGATGTCTGTGTTAATTTGATACATCTTTACCGTTTATACTTTAGAGGTGTCCGCAAAGAAAGAGGTTTCGCCGTGTCAATGGTTCTGATATGGTATATGGAATAGCAATGGCTTAAATTAGTTAGAAATACTGAGTAAGGTACTAAATAAAGATAGGTATTTATTATTCTTACAAAGGATACAGGACACTGCCAATAGTGAAATAAAAGTGTTGATGGCCGAAATTATTGTTTTGGTTGTCAGAAAAAAGCGGTGATAAAAGAGACTTGGAATCACGTTTACAGAAAGGCAAACGTCATTTTCAAGTTAAGAATTTATCAAAATAAAATGAGCGAATAAAAACTGCCCAAACAGTTTTTATGGCTAGAACTGGCGTGAGACTTCTATTTTTTGAGTAGAAGTAACACAACAGTAAATGACAATTTAAGGAAAAACTTGGTCACTTGGTGCAAATCTACGTTTGCCCTAAGCGTGATTATCAATCTCTCTAATCGTGATTCTACAAAGCGTAGACTGTGCTAAAGTGCTTTCCATCTTACCTAGTCCTTAGGCCTCATTATTACGCGCGGCCGATGCGTTTCGGTTCACGTGGTGAGAGCGAGTTTTTGTCTCCCGGTCGGACTCCGGCCGTTCGTCTCTGATACGTCACCGAAATGCGTTGACCGAGAAGGCCTGGAAAGACGCCGTACTAGGACCAGGCAACTTTCCATCCACATTTCCTTCCAGTACAGCAGAGTCCACGCATCAAACATTACTTTGGAAGGTTTTAAGAGGAGAAAAGCACGCTCAAACATAATAGCATACGGTTAGTTGTTTTTACTGGAAGTCGTTTTTTTTTCAGTGGTTGGTCAAATGATCTAGCAGTGGTCCCCCTGGTCAAAGTATTTTGAAGTAGAATTTTACACACAAGAGTTAGCACTGTTTGCGGTCCTTTATTCAGCTTCCCAAGGACTTTTTTTTTTGGTTTTGTCTTTTTTTCCTTGTAGTCGCCTCAAATCAGCAACGGCAAACGAAAAGTTTTCATTCTGTTGATAGGAAAGTGCTCAATACGTAGGCAAGCAAACAACTTGAAAGAAATCTAACCAGCAAAATGGTTTTATTCTGACCGTCATGTTTATACTATAGCACACTAAATACTCCGAGCGTGTTCGATTGATCGTAATCCGGAATATGAATAAATGGAATGAACTCTAAAAATCGTCTGTGTTAGCGTTTAATGCATTACAGTAGCAAGAAATATGCTTGAAATAAAAAATCTCCATGTATGCAGCGTTTAAGTGGACCAAAACTAATACTAGAAGAGACTTGTAACAAAACTTTGGCGTGCTCTTATTCCGGAATACAGTCAATCGAATACACCCTTAATGTAGCACCTAGGTCTCCCACGGTTAGGAGGAACTATGGACAACAGCTGTGAGATCTAGACATAAGATTATGGAATTACATTGTCATTGAAACTTCGTTTCATACTCAGTGTAACTAAATTCAATTTAACTTGTCCGTGATTTCCTCAAGCGAGTTCAAATTTGCACAACAAATTTGCTTTAAAATAACTCGCATATTCATTAGCACATCCGTATTACGAAAAACAAACAGGTCCAATTTCGAGGCCAAACTCTTCCCCAGTGTCCCCGATATCGTAAACGGCCACGTCGTGTATTGGAAGGCGATGCGTCTTGGCAGTGTTCACCTCTATGATTGTTTTTCGCCAAGTACCGTCTTTGATCTAAAAAGAGTAAGAGTCAAAATCTTAAGTTGGTGAAAACGCCCTAGAAAGGAGAAAAAAAAATCACATGTATGCACCACCACACAAACAGACACCTTTCTCAAGAACATTTTTTCCGGCGTTCCCTTTTATTGTGTTTTGACCAATCAAACTTAGCCTGGTCGCAATCTCTCTGGAGAACTGTGAGGGTGGGAGCCTCCGCCGCCCCCTAGATCCCCCCCCCC